ATCCACCTTCTGAGAAGGAGGAAGGGGAGTTATCTGAAGAAGAGGAGGAAATAGTACCCACAGTGCAATCCAGGCTGTTCCCACAGGAACTGTATGCACGTTTACTTCCAAAGGTACTGAGAACTCTAGATCTCTCCACCAAACCAAAGGAAAAAGGTTTAGCAGACCAGGAATTTCAATTCGGCTCAGGTAAATTGATGCCAAAGATTTCAGAGAGTCAGCCAGGTCTACTGCTCCCAGCAGCCTTTTTTAACATAATGAAGGTGGAATGAAAAAACCCCACAAGGCCCAAAGCTAACCGTCCAGTTTTTTCAAAATTTTACTCTTTGACTTCAGAGGCCACAAAGAAAATTAGATTGCCAGCAGTAGATGAACCAGTCACTAGCCTAATTTCCAATTCTGTCCTACCAATGGAGGCAGATGGTCTACCAAAGGATCGGTGACAAAAGAATTGAACAGTCTCGAAGATGGGACTTTGAGGCCTCTTCGTGCGCCCTTAGGGCGTCCATGGCAGGTTCACTGTTCGCCAGAGCAGCATATGACTGGGCCTCAGAGCTTGCATCAGCTGACAGCAATATACCAAAAGAACTAAAAGACCAATTAAAAAAACATTGCTCTGGCCACAGCCTTCACGGTTGACGCAACCCTGGATGCCTTGCAGCAATCTGCCAGGGCTATGGCATGCAGTGTAGCAGCGAGGCGGAATCACTGGCTGAGAAACTGGGATGTAGATTCCTCAGCACAGGCAAAGGTGGCGGCCGTCCCTTTTAAAGGCAGTAATCTGATTGGGTAAGGCCTTGATAAGTACCTGGTGGAAGACAAAGAGAAGAAAAAGGTCTTACCAAGTAAAAAGAAGGATATTAAACCACACAAGACGTTTCAGTCCTTTCGAGGTTCCAAGAAAGGAAATAAGCCTAACTATGACAGACCCTTTAAGGGGAAATGGAATGCCAAACCGCGTGACAAGTCTTTCTTTAGTCAGAAGGGCGACCAAAACTCCAAGAGTACCAAAAAAGGAGCGTCAGCATGACTATTCCAGTGCACAGGAGCTCTTGGGAATAGGAGGCAGACTTCAACATGTCTCACAACACTGGCAAACCACCATGATAGACAAGTGGGTTCTAGATACCGTGACCAATGGGTATGCCCTAGAGTTTATTAGGACTCCCCCAAATCGGTTCCTTCAGATTCCACAAAATCGAGGATGAAATGCCAGATAGTGCTAGGGGCCATCCAACACCTACTCTCTATAGCCATAGAACGGGTACCAAAGGACCCAGGGAGTATATTCAGTTTTTTTCATAGTCCCAAAAAAGAACAGAGATGTCAGAGCCATCCTGGACCTAAAATGGCTAAACAGGTACATCAAAACCAGAAAGTTCAGGATGGAGACCTTTAGGTCCATTCTCTTAGCAATTCACGCCCAGGACTTTCTGACGTCTATAGAGCTCTCAGAAGCTTTCTTACATGTACCAATCAGAGAGATACACCGAAGGTTTCTGAGATTTGCATACGGAAACCAGCATTTTCAGTATCGGGCCCTTCCCTTCGGGCTAAAATCTTCCCCAAGAGTGTTCACAAAGATTTTAGTGACAGTAGTTGCCCACCTCAGACTATGGGGAGTGGTCCTCTTCCCGTATTTAGATGACAGCTTGGTGAAAGCCCCATCACTACAACAGTGCCAGGAAGTGTCTGAGGTTACAGTGCAAGCCCTAAGAGATCATGGTTTTGTCGTCAACGAAAAGAAAAGCAACCTCCAACCTGCCCAGACATTAGTACATCTGGGGGTGCTGATAGACACTCAGAGGGATTGAGTCTTCTTGTCATTAGAAAGGAGGCACTAACAGAGGTACTAAAGCAACTGAGAGTGGAACTGATGGTGTTAACGAAGTTGCTAGGTATGATGGTGTCCTGTCAGGACATTGTACAATGGGCAAGATTTCACTCTCAACCTCTGCAAAGATTCCTACTTCCGTATCAGGAAGCCATAGCTCATCGGAGATTCAAGATCCTCCAGTTACCGGAGAACCTACGACATCAATTAGGTTGGTGGATGGACCCCTCATGCTTTACACAGGGATCTCCCCTAAGGGACCCACAAAGAATAGTAATGACTTACAGATGCCAGTCTGTGGGGTTGGGGGGTTCACTCACAAGGGAAGATGTCGCAAGGGACATGGTCCAAAGAGGAAGCCCTGATGAGCATAAATTTTCTGGAGCTCAGAGCCATAAAATTGGGGTTACTGAAGTTCGAGAGCTCCCTAGCAGGACACCATGTGTTAGTCCAAATGGACAACATAACGGCGAAAGCCTACATAAACAGGCAGGGGGGGTACCAGACATCAAACGCTTCACAAGGAAGCCTGCAGCCTATTCCAATGGGCCGAGGCTCATCTCCAGTCACTAACAGCAGTGCATGTGGCAGGAAAGGTAAATGTACTAGCGGACTGGCTAAGCCAAAAACAGGCTGAACAAAACAGTCTTTTCACAAGTCTGCGACAGGTTCGGGACAGTAGTGATGGCCCTATTTGCCACGGAGCAGAACTGCCAAGTTCAACAATTCATCTCCAGAAGAAGAAACCAGTACGCAATAGGGACAGATGCATTCAGTTGTGAATGGCCGCAGGGTCTGCTATATGTGTTCTCGCCAATGCAGTTAATACACAAAGTACTGCAAAGAACAAAAGGCAGAGGTGATCCTAATTGCCCCATCCTGGCCAAGTTTTGAACTGTAAAGTCTCTGTCCATAAGGGAACCATGGAAACTCCCCATCCAGGAGGATCTTCTGATGCAGGGGGCAACAAACCATCCTCAACCAGATCATCTCAGCCTCACTGCTTGGAGGTTGAGCGGAAAACGTTAGAAGACATGGGGTTCTCAGATAGAGTGACTGGCACTATGTTAGCCTCTAGAAAACAATCTACCAACAAGGTGTATAATGTAACTTGGAAAATATTCTGCACTTGGTGCGGAGATCATAGTACAGGTCCTATGAAAGCACCAGTAAAAGATGTGTTATCCTTCCTACAGGATGGGATAGACAAGGGCCTTAGTACTAGCACTTCATAAAATATTAAGGGAAACATAAAATATTAAGGCAAAATGTGAGGATATCTGAGGACCGAAATCCAAAAGATCTGAATGAGCAAGCCAGTATCCTGCTGGCCAAAGACCAGCAGACAGAAGCCTTACGGAAGGAACGCCAGGCACTCCAGGCCAAGTTGAATGCTCTGAACGTTTTAAAGGAAAGATGTACTCACCTGGAAGAAGAGAACGACTGGCTAAGGAAGAACAGCTTCCCAGTCGAGCAAGAAAAAGCCAAAATACTTGAGCGCAAAAGTGCTGATCTGGCTGTCCTCGCCCAGCGCTTGGTAGAAGCAGTCAAGAAACTCCAGGAGTTATCTTTGAGAATGGAGAACCACTCTTTGCCTAAGATCAGTGATTTGGATCTCTCGCTCAAGCTACAAAGACAGATAGCACCCAAGTGCCAGAGGAACTCTCTTCAGACCGCCAGAACAAATGGGTCGTCTTCATCAGGTATAGTACAGGAAGCATCATCAACCATCTATGTGGATTTAGAGGATGGAGTGTCACTATCAGTGACATGCAGCAAGGAGGCTAAGAACTGTAAAAACAGCAGTTTAACAAGAGAGTCACAGCTTTTACAAAAGCAACTTGTTGAAAAAGGAAAGCAGTGTGAAAACCTCAGACACGAGTTACAGGGAAAACAGAAACAATGTGATGAAGTGGAACTGAAACATCATAAAATATTAAGGGGAAATGTGAGAATATCTGAGGACCGAAATCCTGCAGGCCAGTTGATTCAAGGACAGAATTTAGAGCAAGTAGTTAAAAACATGAAACAATTTGAACATGAGAAACAAGAGTTAGAATTTCTACATGAACAAACTTTACCAAAGTTGCATGAACCATGTTTCTCCAGCTCAAGTGCTATTTGTGAGGCAAAAAGCAACAGCCCAGATGAAGACAGGTATGTCAGTCCTCTATCTGATGGACCAGAAGGAACGCTAGGTGACGTCCAGGCAGCAGTGCCTGATCTCCAGAATCTGACTCTCCTGACTCTTCGGAACATCACAACCACGTCAGCAGAAATCACTTGGTTCCCAAACAATCACTACACTCATCTAGTGCACCTCAATGAGAAGAAACACGATGTGACCAAAGCAGGGATCTACTGCTATACCTTCCAAAACCTCCAGCCCAGCACCACCTACAGAGTCAAAGTGGAGCCTCTTCTGCCTCAGGAAGCCTTGGTGCCCCCTCAGGGGGGGCTGCAGGAGAAAGCCAGAGAAATGACGTTTACGACACCATCAGCAGGACCACCTCACGCTCCCCTTGACGTCCAAGTAGAAGCCGGTTCTTCTGCAGACTCTCTGGTGATCAGCTGGTTTCCGGAAACCATCCATCCATCAGGATCATCAAATGGGGTCCAAGTCACAAGCTATGCTATTTATGTCAGCGGACAGAAAGTGACTGAGATCATGTCGCCAACGGCTGGGAGCGTCTCATTGGAAGTTTCCCAAATAAAGGCGTCCCAAGGGCCCCAGGCAGTGACTGTAAGGACTGTTTCTCCGTTTGGGGAGTCTGCGGATTCTGTCCCAGCTTTGATTCCACCAGACCTGCAGAAAGTTCCCAGCACTGTATCTTCCCAGTCTGTTGCCCCTGGGCTGACTTCCCAAGAATTCTTAGAATCTGAGGGCTGGCAGAGCCCTGCAACGGAAGACATGTCCGTGTGCTTTCTTATCCCCCACCCAAAGAGAGACCCCCCACCCACCCAAAGTTTATCAGGGCCTTAATCTCCACAATAGCAGATGGAATGAGTCGCTGTGACGGGAATGGAGCCCCCAGCCAGTACAGCAGGGCCAGGGCGGGGAATGGCAGCAGCTCACCCGCTGGAGGTTGACGATAAAGAGGCCTCCGGACGAACGCAGGCCCCTGAGCCCTTGGTAGCTAGACTCTGGTCCTCCAACGGGCCTGAGTCACTCTTTGGCGATGGCGAATGGCTTCTCCACCTCAATGGTCCCGGAGTTGACAATGGTGACGTCTTTCAGGGACTTGTCCCTGCTGTCTGTTGTGGTGTTCTCCATTTTTCTCACGATGACCTGGGAAGAGACAGCACCGGGGACTGGTGGGACGGGCCTGCTGCTCGACTGACCCTTCCCACCGAAGGACCCTCTTCCGCCAACGGACGCTAACTAGATCTGGTCCCCACCCCCAGATCACCAGCCACCTTTAACCCTTAGCGTACAAGTACAGCCACAAATCACACCCACCAAGGGAAGACCATCAACAACTCACAACCATATATGCTCAAAACTGTATATTATGTAAGTACAAAGATGGGTTAGTGGTCATAACCCAGTAGAACCTTACGATTCCATTGTAGTTACTGAGCTGTGCCTACGTTATTTTGTAAATTGGGTTCTGTTTTATCAGCCGCTGTTGAAGATCACTGAAACGTCTTGATTTATACCTGGGAGAGGCGTGCCGCTGTTATCCTTTCCAGAGTGGGCGTCTTCTGCCGCAGTTCTGTTTGGAGATCTATCGACACTATTTATGTACGGAATTACAGAGGAGCCTACTGTTGGTTTTGAACACGTTCTTTTTGTAAATAATGCTTAATCGTTATGGGCAATCTGTTGGATATGTGCCTATACATTCTATTCCACTAACCCCTCTTTGTACTTTAATGTAATATATAGTTGTGAATTGTTGATGGGTGCTGTTTGCATTCTACAACCCTGGCGACAGCCGCCCAAAGCCCGAGGAGTCCCACTTACCATCCCTTCCAGGACTTTGCCAAAGATGACGTGCTTCCCGTCCAGCCATGAGGTTTTGACGGTGGTGATGAAGAACTGAGAACCGTTTGTGTCCTTGCCAGCATTGGCCATGCTCACCCAGCCTGGCCCGTAGTGCTTGAGCTTGAAGTTCTCGTCAGGGAAACGGTCCCCGTAGATGCTTTTACCTGGCCACCAGGGAAGAAGAGAGATTTTTAAAAAACACTGGCATGTCCCACTGACCTGTAGGGGGGTACAGGGCAAAGAGGCCTAGTTTTGTGGTGGTGGAAAGTGCCGTCAAGGCGCAGCTGACTTGCGGCAACCCGATGGGGTTTTCCAGGCAAGAGACATTCAGAGGTGGTTTGCCCTGGCCTGCCTCTGCAAAGCAACCCTGGACTTCCTTGGTGGTCCCCAATCCCAGTACTAACTCATTTATTTTTTTATGTACATTATTTGGAGTCTGCCTTTCTCACAAGGACTCAAGGCAGATCACACAGAGTGAGTCAACACGATCAACGAGATGGGACGTTCTATAAACAATGAAATAGGATTCGGGTTATAGATCCTACCAGAAGTCCAAAAACCACAATGGCAAAGTATACACAGTAGTACAGACCACAGTAGCCTGACCTGGACAGGCCAGGCTAGCCCGATCTCAAAAGTTAAGTAGGGTCAGCCCTGGCAAGTATTCGGATGGGAGACCTCCACGGAAGCCCAGGGTCGCTATGCAGAGGCAATCGATGGCACACCACCTCTGAACGTCCCTTGCCTTGAATACCCCACAGGGTCACCATAAGTCAGCTGTGACTTGACAGCACTGTCCACCACCACCACCACAGTCCACGATAATTTATTCAAGTGGCTTTATGAAGCCTTTTGTAACAGTGCTTACCCTACTGCCTGCTGAGAAAAGCCGTCTTGAATAATTTAGTTTTGCCCCACTTAGCTTCTGAGATTGGGTTAGCCGGCGCCATCCAGGTCAGGGCTAGCCTGTTAGTACATCTGTAATTTACTCCTCTGGGATAGAACAAAGCTTGAGTCCAGTGGCACCTTTAAGACCAAAAACGTTTTATTCTGGGCATAAGGTTCCGTGCGCAAGCACACTTCTTCAGATATGTGGCTAGAAAGGAGTTTGTAAGCTGCTCTGAGACTCCAAGTGAAGGGCGGGGTATAAATCCAATCTCTTCTCACTTCTCTTCTCTCTTGAATAATTCAGTTTTGCCCCACTTAACTTCTGAGATTGGGTTAGCTGGCGCCATCCAGGTCAAGGCTAGCCTCTTAGCACATCTGTAATATACTCCTCTGAGGTAGAACAAAGCTTGAGTCCAGTGGCACTTTTAAGACCAAAAAAGTTTTATTCTGGGCATAAGGTTCCGTGCGCAAGCACACTTCTTCAGATATGTGGCTACGGCCTGCATCTCTCAGTATCAGGTGTGGACTTGGGTCACAACAGAGGAAACTGGCTGTTAAAACACTAATTTTGCAGTGGAGCGAATTTTTTATATTCAAGGTATAAGCTTTCGTGTGCACGCACAGTTCTTCAGATAAGAAGTATACCCAGAATAAAACTCGGCTGGTCTTAAAGGTGCCCCTGGACTCAAACTTTAGTCTGCTGCTTCAGACCAACATGGCTGCTCATCTGAATCTATACTCTGAGGTACAGCAATTATCCCCAAAAGTCCCGCCTCTCCTCCAGGGCTCTGAACCAATCCTTGTGATTGTCAGCCAATCAAATCCCATGGAATGCTACTAGGTAGGAGGGGTTGAGCCAGCCTCCATTTAAAGCCTGCATGGTTAACAAACAAAGTAATCGAAGCTGTAAAAGGTAAGAAGGATTCCTTTAAGTGGTGGAAAGCTAGTCTCAGTGAGGCTGATAAAAGGGAACACAGGCTGTGGCAAATAAAATGCAAGTCTGTGGTCAGGCAGGCAAAAAGGGAATATGAGGAGCATATAGCAAAAAACATAAAAACCAACAATAAAACTTTCTTCAAATACATTAGAAGCAGGAAACCAGCCAGGGAGGCAGTGGGGCCCTTAGATGACCCAGGGGTAAAAGGAGTACTGAAGGATGATAGGGAAATGGCTGAGAAGCTGAATGCATTTTTTGTCCCTGTCTTCACTGTGGAAGATGAGAAGAGCTTGCCCATTCCAGAACCGCTGATTTCGGGAGGGGTGTTGAAAGACCTGAGTCAGATTGAGGTGATGAGAGAGGAGGTCCTACAACTGATAGACAACTTAAAAACTGATAAATCACCAGGCCCAGATGGCATACATCCAAGAGTTCTTAAAGAACTCAAATGTGAACTTGTGGATCTGACAAAAATATGTAATCTTTCCTTAAAATCTGCCTCCATTCCTGAGGACTGGAAGATAGCTAATGTCACTCCCATCTTTAAAAGGGGTTCCAGAGGAGATCCGGGAAATTACAGGCCAGTCAGTCTGACATCGATACCAGGTAAGTTGGTGGAAACTGTTATTAAGGAAAGAATTAGTAGGCACATCGATGAACAAAAGTATTGAGGCAGACTCAGCAT